CTCGGACAGATATCGCAACGATATTCTTTACCTCGAATCTGATAGGCATCATATTTGCGCGCTCGCTCCATTACCAATTTTATTCTTGGTACGCGCAACAGCTTCCCTTCTTGGCTTGGAGAACAAGATTCCCTGTTTTTGTCAAGTAGGTTTAAACTCCATGCCGGTGGCTTCCACTGAGCCTTTTTAGAATTGGTCTGATCATGGCCATTGAATACTCGTGGAACGTGTTCCCCTCTACACCATTCTCCTCTACGTCCCTCCTAGTGGCAAATACCATCCTTCTTAGGTGGCATCGCGACGGGATACCCGAACGGACTCCAATAATTTAAAATAATTTAAACATCGAGCCAATGCTATTATTCTGAACCCATTCCTAGCACAAATGTGCTTCTACCTCCGCGGGGCAGCACCAGGACCTTTTCCGCGCCGTGAACCTGGTACGTTTCCGTACTAGGAATAGCCATGGAGCCCATTGTGACTTCCCCCGCGAGAGGTAACGCAGTAACAGATATTTTTGGAAGAGTGAGCTCGCCGTGATGTAGTGCAATCAATGTGATGGGGACACTATAAGTCGCTTCGTCCTTTGTGTATGCAATTGGTCAAACATCGGTTTTCGTGACAATAAGGAATCAAATACCTTTGCTGCAAAGTCTCCCCGTTTCCTGCCACTTACTAACCACTCACGCACCATTTCCTCGACATCGAAACGCATCATATAAGCACGTTCTTTGTCGTCAACGCTGGAGCCCCAGTGGAACGAAGTGTGAATAGTAAGGATGGCAGATATCGGCTGCCCAGCGTAAAGGGAGGGAGTATGTTCTGAGATGGGATGTACCAGGCGAATACGCGCCGCAGCGACAATCTTGAATACCCATTAACATCCGGATCATACATAGCAGGAGAGATGACCGACGTTCATATACGGTACATCTACAGGAATCTTGATTTCCCGCCATTTGCCTTGAGCTGGATGGGGATGCCTATGCTCGTGAAGAAACTGAATCGTCAATTAGCGGAAATCCATCGAGGATGTTGGTTGTAGTAACCTTGATCACTTGACGAAGTGGTTCATCGGCCTCGCCGAGCTCACCAAATACCTCCGGAACGTCGAGCTCGCCCGACATTCTGTACATTTCCACCCAAGTGCTGTCGAGCTCTAGCGCCTCAACGAGTCTATTTACGAGAACCACTCTGTCTGCGAGCAACGCCTTCGAATTTGACAGAACTTGCTCAACCGCGGCTTCTATCAAAGCCTCCACTTCTAGAAAACAGTTCATGATCGCTTGAAGCATTCATGCCATTCCCTTACCTTCACGCAACATTCGATAGCTGATAAGAAATTTGAGAGAATCCCGCACTTTTACGATACTGAGTAAAACCACCAAGGACAGTGTGAGAACCAACCTGGTCCATTCACAGACTCGAGATAAAACAAAAAATTGGCAGGTTGGGTGGGTGTGACAGTCTCAAGAGGGACGTCAGCCACGGTACGTCAGGTGGTTTAGGAAACGCACTACCACACTGCGCGCTTGCGGCGAGCACGCCACAATTTTAACGCCATCCAAACCGCCCTTGGGCATTTGCAACTGTGCATCGGATATGCGGACATGTTGATGGCTTGTGGTGGAGATGGTAAACTTGGAGAAAAGCCTAGAACAATGAAGCCCTGACGTGCCGCTGAGAATTGCCCGTACGAACCTGTTTCCGCGGAAAAAATCTTCGACGTTAACAGAGATCGGCAGTGTAGTTGCTACGACTCGTGCTAGGTGGACTGTCCTGGGGATATCCGGCTCCGCAGCCGTGACATAATCTACTTCGACGTCCATTTTCTGAAAGAAGCGATGAGGAGGCAGGGACCGAGTCGAGCAAAGAGCTCACCATGGCATGAAATGCGGAAGCATCAGAGTAAGGTAGTAAAATTTCGAGATGGCTAGCTTCTGGAAGATCCAAGAGGGTTATACATGCATCGTCAACTTGGAGTGGGCCTGCGTCGCTTTGTGCTAGAAAAACATTGAGGTAATTATATGACGACGAGATGGCCTTTACCTTCAGAAAGGGTGGCTTGTTTGTAACGAAAAGTCACCGAGGGTGCATGGAATTTGATTGCTGCTTTGGCAACATGATTCCGCCCGGTAGAAACGGCAACGAGGAGTGTTGGAGGTTTCCCAAGCTCGACTGTGCGGATCATTGGTTCAAGGAAGCAGAATCTCGACAAGTCACTCACTGAGGTTTGGCTGATGAAGGCGAACATCCATAGCCAGCAGGTCGCGAGGTATGCGGACCAGCGAGAAGCCTTTTTTATGATCAGATGGTCGCCCCCCGGGAAGAGCTTTCCGGTGCATCCATTGAAAGACTAGATGGGACATGCGTGCCTCGGTGCTCTCGAGGATATATGTACCGGCCGACGAAGTCTAAGATTACGTTACGAATGAGTCAGCGAATGGGATATGATACACACTGGACAGAATAGAGTGGCCTCAGTCTTCCCTGGAGGTATGGAATCACTGGGTGCAGCGAATCTCAAACGTTCCGCTTCTCTCCCCGAAAGTGTTGCGACAATTCCATCGATAGGAATGGCCTAGTTCATGATAAATTGATGATGGAAGGGAACAAGGTAAAGTTGCTACGCATGGCAGGTGGTTGTGGATAACCACGTCAAGAAAGGAACCGTCCTTGTCGCCGGCGGGTTTCGCGGTCGACGACACATGAATTGACATTGCGGGGTGTTCTGGATGTGACAAATCTAATAGGCCAAGTGAGCAAGAAGTGGACCGAGCATAACCAAGTCTTCCAACCAGATTCAAGGGTCGTCGCGGATTCCCTCATCGCTTGCACAAGACGGGATATGTACTCGGTGCTATCTTCCTCGTGCATCAATAGATCCAACCCCACAGTATCGACATAGGTCTTGAGAAATGAGAGGAGAATGTGGATCCATTCACGATCTTTGGACTTGTCCAACTCTGCATGAGTATCCAGCGCGAGCGACAACATCAGTGACTCCAGCGAAGTCCACATATGTGGAGCATAATGTGCCGGTAACGATGTATACGTGGTCAAAGCATCAGCAAGCCGTCCGCGGTGACTTTGGGGTGCTCAGTCCAAGAAATTTGACAAGAAAGAAGATACCTACACATCGAGGGCCGCTAAACTGCCGTGTAGCTTGAGGGCGAATTTTCGACGGCCCGCCTTGGCATACATGTCGATTGCGCGGTTCGTGATTGCGACATATGTCTCGTAGAATGTGTCTTGATTCTTGATAGATTCCAAGATATCCACGTTGGATATTGTCTTATCCGACGCTGGCAGGCTGGATGACGGAGAGGAACCAGGGGAAGTGCAAAAGGGAGGACGCGCAGGGAGGTGCCCGACTTTGACGCCTATGATATCCAACTTTTCAACGGTGGGTGATTTTTTCTTGAGAGCAAAAGACGCAAACGACGATACCTGATTTCGGGCTAGTTCTAGTAATTCACCCTTTCCTGCATTGAAGGTGCTAAGCTTGGGGCCTTGAAGGTTAAGAGGTACTGCCCAGGTGTCACATTGATCTACGACACTAAGGGCGGAAGAATGTGTCCAAGATTCAACAAAGAATCCAGGAAGAGTGTCCTGAGGGAATTGAGCGTCGGCTCAGCTCCAAACAGACGACGCACCTCGACTTCGCGCAATCGGCGACCAAAAGCCCCGAGAAATGCTGCAGCTTTTCGGCTGACCTCGTTGATACGCCCTATATTAGCAAGAAGTTCACATTGCCGAGCAAGCAGGTATATGCGAAAATCGAACACAGAAATAGTGTTGGCAAGAATCAAATCGCGGTAGGGCTTTTTTGTTATCGACAGTAGCGGACAAGAGTCGTCGTTGGGGCTCGGAGTGATGAGTGTCCCGAACCAAGACAGATTCTTTTCCTTCAACACTTGATAGAAAGACGCCTCTAGCTCATCATACTGCAAGAGGGCATCCTCGAACAAATTGACGCCTTGAAACGAGGCAGCCAAACTTTCCTAGGTGAATACATTCGTCAGGCCCTGCAAAACAGGGATGAAGTGTTTCTACCTTGAGAATGAAAAAGGTGCAAAAATTCCAGCCTGGCATCTGTCTCTGACTCTCTGACCGCTTAACATCGTCTTCCCTCTGTGATACGGCAAGGTCAAAGGAAGAAAGTAGGCCGTCCTTGAGTTTGTTAAGGAACTCGGCCCATGCGGTCGGACTGCCGTATCCCGATGTCCATGCCAGTTGAACGCATCTGGGCAAGTGAGTGGAGATATGAGGCTTTGGGCCGATATAGGTACCTGTCACGCCTGTCGGTGTTGAAGTCTCCCTTGAGCTTGTCCAAAACAGAGCCTTTCAGCTGGAAGAAGTTTCCACTCGGGGTCCGGGCATCCGGGCGAACGATGTGAAGTATAAGCCATTCCTGGTTCTTGCGAGAGGCAACAATCGAATGCCAGTCTTTGACTTGACGTTTAATCGAAGTCTTGTAGGTTTCGACGTCGTTATCCTTGCTCACAGCGTCAGTTTCTGCGTAGCGATGAGCAGTCGCGCGAGTCACCTCGCAAGTCACGATGTAGATATTAAGGAAGGGCTTCTCCAACAGAGTTTCTGGTATCTGCGACGTGTGCTCGTCGCGCAGAGATTCGAGGGGCACGAGGGAAATATCGAGTTCTTGGATGGTTCTGATCGAGGGTCGAGACGGAGACTTCCAATGAATGTTTGCGCAGCGGCAGTTGAGCGAGAAGGGAGGTGTGAATTTGGTCCCAATTTCCGGAAGACAGAAACGACTGAGCACCAGAGTAGGACACCAGGACCCGCTGTCGAGGTGCCATGGGTGGTATAGATGTGGCTGTGCAGGCAAGCAGCGACAAATAGTACGACACCCACGTCCAAAATAGGAAGGTACACACAAAAAACGCAACTTCCGAACCCCCTCTACATTGAGGACAGCGCTGGAAGGCAAAAAGAAAGTTGTAGAAGTGTCCGGAGGTCTCAAAAGGCAAAAATAACGACACCTGTGCGATTCGAACACACGCGGAGAAACTCCAATGCCTTACGTAATAGCAGGGCATCGCCTTAACCACTCGGCCAAAGTGTCTGTATATTCTTTTTGACCCTTGCAAGGTCACGGAAAATTTACTTCCTCCTACTTAGAGAGGCATCAATCAGTTCCCCGAGACCAGCGCCTCTGTCGTAGTCCGGAGCACGCGCTAGTAGAATGTCAGGCCTCACCGGCTGTCCTCAACCTGCGCAATATATTCCTTGGTAAAAATGCAAACAAAATTGGCTGAACTCTCAAGTGTTGAGT